AAAAGACAAAGAAAAACTATAATGCAAAATAACTCAAGATGGACATCCATGCACTTGGAAACTCAATTAAAAGAAGTAGAAATTAACAATTTCTTCTTTGTTTGCTTGTGAATTGTGTTGATATTTCTATGCTGTCCAGATACATTAGGAGGGGCAAACCAGATGCTGGCTTTGCTCTTTTTGAATCCGAGTCTTTGAAGTGGCCAGGTTTTGTTGAGTTTGACGATGTAAATGGGAAAGTACTCACTCATTCTGCTCAGGATAGGTAAAACTATATTTATATAGCATTGATTTTTCGGTTCAATGATATGATTTTCTTTTATAACTAGGCTTATTGATTGTGATACTTGTATCTGTCTTTGTGTTTTCCCTCTACAGCATATACAAGGTGTTTGACCTCAAAAACTATACAATGTTGTATTCCATTTCTGATAAAAATGTCCAAGAGATTAAGATAAGGTAATTCTCTTTACATGCTTGTGAATTTACATTATACACCACATTATCATAGAGCTGGTCCATGGCCATGCTCAAATTTCTGAAAAATTTATCACATCCTCTTAGTTCTGGATATCATTGATACCTGATTCCTACCCCCTAGGTCTTACTTTATTTTCACTTTGTTCTTGTTTGGTTATTTTTCTTGATCAGTCCAGGGATCATGTTACTGATTTTTGGGAAAGCAAGTAGCCATGTCCCGCTTAAAATCCTTTCAATTGAAGATGGTTCTGTCTTGAAATCGTTCAACCATCTCCTTCATCGGAATAAGAAAGTGGATTTCATTGAACAGTTTAATGAAAAGCTTCTTGTCAAGCAAGAAAATGAGAACCTCCAAATTCTGGATGTAAGTATCTTCCAACTACTAAATGATTTGTATTTATTAGTTCTCATCTGGATATCTGAATTTCAATTCTCTCTAGGTGCGGACTTTTGAGCTAAAAGAAGTTAGCAGAAATGAATTTATGACACCATCTGCGTTCATATTTCTATACGAGAACCAATTGTTCTTGACCTTTCGAAATCGTACTGTGGCTGTGTGGAATTTCCGTGGACAACTCGTTACTTCTTTTGAGGACCATTTACTGTGGCATCCTGACTGCAATACAAATAATATATATATTACCAGTGACCAGGATCTCATTATATCATACTGCAAGGCTGATTCTGACGATCCACTGTCTGAAGGAACTGGTACGTCTTTGTTTTCTTATATAGATATTTTTTCAGATCCTGTTCATTTGCTTTTATTTCCTTTCCGATTTGAGACGACTAAAAAATATTCCTGTGCATCATGCATGGACTATTTGAGTAGGAATACGTTAGGAGTAAAAAAGTCACTGTAGATCATTTTAAAAAAAAATAAAGCCGCTGTTGATAAGGAGTTACTGAACAGGAAAGAGTTACTGTAGATGAGGGAGTATGCTTATATATATTGATGACGGTTTATATGGTCTGACTTGTGAGGTACGGTGGGTGAGACAGTGTTATCTTAATGTTTTACATTTTTACTTCATAGTGTTATTTTGAAACAGGATAGTGAACAATAATAATGAAACAACGTTTCGGTGTAATAGTAGAGATCCATGACTTTTTTCTCTGTGTTTTTTGGGAGAGAAATTATCTTCGAAGTTGTATTGTTAAAATGTTTTGCTTCTTGGATGCAGCGGGATCCATCAATGTTAGCAACATTTTGACTGGAAAGTGTCTGGCTAAAATCAGAGCTAGCAATAGCTTGCCCATGCAAAATGAATGTGGTTATGGCGACAGTTGTGGAGGTGGTGGTTGCAGTTCAAAGAAGCAAAAGCATGTCTCCAGAATGAGGAGCACAGTTGCTGAAGCCTTGGAAGATATTACCGCACTCTTCTATGACGAAGAGCGCAGTGAGATCTACACTGGCAATAGACACGGGCTGGTTCATGTTTGGTCTAACTGATTTGTTATTGACTTTATCATTGCTTTGTTTTTTGTTTTTTTTTTTCCCTCGGCTGATTTGATTGTCCTTCCTGCTATAAGAACTTTCAGGAGCTGTAACCAAATTGGGCTTCTTGTATTATTCTTTTTCATTTTGCAGTTGCTCGTTGCCTCCGTATTCGACTATTGGGCAAGTTTGTTATGTAGTTGACTATAGGTCTGTGTCAAGTGCTGTGGGATGCTGGGAACTCAACGGATGTTACTTCTGCTGTAATCTATTGTACATTTTAATGAACCATCTTCAATGGATTAAAGTAAAACATGAGAGTAGCGTCAATTTCATCCAGTTTTTAGTTGCATCCTGCTTTTCTTATCCTCCTATCATTGTTTACTAAGAGTGTGTTTGGATTACCTCTCCAACTAAGGATAAGGTCGTTCAAACCTTAGTTAAAAGATTTTACTTAGATTAAAATCTTGTTTGGATTAAAAAAACCTTAAACGTGTGTTAATTGTTGAATGGGTGTTTTTATGAAAGGTGGGAGGAGTAGCTTTTTGATGCAATGTTGGGTGGAGTGTTGGAATATTGCACATTCTTTTCTCTCCTCGTATCTTCAATTCCAAATCGCTACTTCTCTCTTTGCTCAGCCTATCATCTTCATGAGCTTTGTTTCACCTCCTTCTTGTCGTCATCGTCGCTGACTGCCTATTATGCTCGAGCTGTCGCCGCCGTTCGAGGAAGTTGAGGGTGTCATAACTACTTGTGTAGGTTTTGTCAAGATTGTTTCCCTTTTTTTCTCTGACTATTTTGCTCGCTGTTAGTCATTGTGTATGCTCTGTTTTTGTTGCTTTCCTTCATTTGTTGAGGTAGAGAGGGAGACTACAGATGTGCTGGTCATGGGAAAGGGAGATGATGCTGGTGGTGGGGAGAGGGAGACAAAAGATGGAGGAAAAGAGTGTATAAGAGAGATGACGCTGGTTTGTGGAGAAGAGGAGGAAGAGGAAATGCTCCCTTTGCATGTTTTTGAGTGTGTATGTGTGGCACACGCATCTGAGGAAGAACAAGATGATCGTGTGTGTTTTTATTTATGTTATATTTGATTAATTATTTATGAATTAATATAAAGTAAAGGAAGAAAAAAGTTAAAATCTTGTTTCATTGTTTAATTAAAATACACTCCATTTAATATAATCTTATCTGTAAAAATTAAATAGAGGGAGAAAATATAACAAGGTTAAATTGTAGGTTTGTATATTGAGACCAAACTGCAGATAATATGAATTGAATATTTTGTAATTTATAAATTTATTTTAATATTTTGAATTTTATTATTTAATTCTACCTTTTTAAAAATTAAGATTTTTAACTCATTAATGTATTTTATATTTGTAATTTACTTTTTTAAAAATTGTAATTTTAAGCTTAATATTTTTTTCTAAAAATATCAAATTAGTCATAAAAATATATATAACAAAACTCATGTCTATTTTTGTCATTATATATTTCAATTGACTTTTGAATATAATCATCTAAATAAATTTTAATTTATCCAATTGACTTTTTTAAAAAAATCTAAACATAAATCATATTATAGTTACACACTTTTTTTCTAACTTCAATTTGTTAATCTCAATTGATTTCTAACATCAATTGTAAATTTTTTAATCCAAACACATACTAGGTATGCAGGAGGTGAAATATGTGCCTCCCACTTTCACTAAGCAGCTACGCAAGAGTGTGTAATGAAATCTTTTATTGTTCATTTCATTCTAATTTTGTACATGAGGATGAAGAATTGGAATTATTATTATTTTTTTTCTAACCAGAAGATTTTGCTACCTTTCAAGGGCTACAACTAGGCTTTTTAAAATAATTTTTTAGAAATCATTTGATTTTTTTTTTGAATAAACTGGAGATCTTCATTCAAGAGAATATAAACAGTACAAGAAACAACAATCTAGCAAAAACAAAGAAAATGAAACAAAGATGCAAAACCCACCAGGAAGCCACGCAGAAAAAACAATTACCTATGTGGTGGCACGTCAAATAGCAAAAATCCAGAATTTAAACTATGAGCTATCATGGCAAGATAATCAACCATACTATTATCTTCCCTATAAACAAAATTAAAATTAACAACCCATTGTCTGTCTAGAATATATCTTGTAGCATTTATAATATAACTAAAAAAAGATGATAACCATAGTTGTTTCTTATGATTGTAGAGATACCATACACAATCATAAAAAGACATCCATAATCCTAAAGCCTTTTCTCCAACAAAGTTTTTAGCCTTTGAAAATCCCGTCAATCTCTGCAATGGCAGCTGGAACAATAATTCTTTATTTTTCTCATCAGGTAGGCTAGCCAAAGCTAAGGGATCAATGGGAAAAACCCCTACTAGTCAAGCATTAGCAAATGTTCACATTTTTAGGAGGGTCAGGAAATAACATCAGCTCATTTGAAGAATTGTGAGCCATGTGAGCCAAAAAATTAGCACAGGCCATCACCTCACGTGGGGCATAAAGAAGCTTAAGATTACTATGGTTAGCAATCACTTCTCGTACTTCAAAAGCATCCTCATAGTAAAGATGGACAGCATGAACTCCTCAATAGACATAGAGACGATAAGATTCAACATCTTACAATATAAAAAACTTTAGCAAAAATAAAATTTTATTAATGATATTTGTTTAAGGTGACCCTTTTTGTTATATCTTTACTCTTTAATATTCTTCTATAAATGAAGTATGACATGAAAGATATTTTTAAAAATTTATATTTTTATTTTTTAAAAATAAAATTATAAAATATATTTAATGACCTTAATTAATACATATAAATGTATCAAAAGTATCTTATAATTTAAAATAAAGGAAGTATGACTTTTTAAAAGTTTTAACTCTCCTGTTTCATGAATCTTACATATCTTAAATAATTATTTAAAATAACTTTTTCAAGTGTAACATCTTTATGTAATTTTTTTTTTTAAAAAAAACTGACCTTTTTTAACCAAGTGGTGGTTATCACAGCTTTTAGTTTTAATACGTTTCAAAGGTGCATTTAAGAATTATAGAGTCATTGACCTTGGTGATTTTGAACATTATAATTCTTACATAACCTTTTATAAACAATCCTGAATTTGCAACATCTCCAGTCTAAAAATATTCAAAACAAATAATAAAGGGTGAAACCATCATATGGTTGCATGCATGCAACATCAAAGTTGCATCGTAAACTCTCCCCTCGCTAAATCTCAAGCTGAAGACAAGTGGCAACCAGATGAAAAAAGGTGATCTAAAATCTGAAGATAACGTCTCCTCTTTTCACTTCACAGACGGAATCTCCATATCTTTGAGGAGTGTGTTTGGTTAATGTTTCCAATAAGAATCCAAGCATAGCAAGACTACACACCAAAAGGTTAGTGAAGATTTCACTGTTGAATTCCTTCGCCGACAAGATCACTGCATACAAATCTGAATTGAGATGTTCACAATAACGATAATGCAATATCAATAGAAACAAAGAGGCAGCACTGGTTTAAGATCGGAGTACCTCCAATCTAAGTTCTTATTTTGCCGGAAAAGCTTTCCTTGAGTCCCTTTAGGCCTCACTAATAAAGTCTTCGCTTCTGTAAGGCATTTAAGATATGGGAATACCGAGCGGGCATGAAGTCCATAATAACGTGAGAAGACATCACATATTCGACTTATGCTTTCCAGTGCAGTTTTATCACCCATGCAAATTTGAATGGAACAAAGCTTCACAAGCTCAAAGGCAATGACAATATCATCCGGATCATATAGCTTTTCCAGAATCTGCCACACGTAAAATGAATCACATTAGGTTCAGTAACGGAAAGATTGTTTTATTCGTCACATAGATCAAAATTTAATTCAGAAACATCTTAACATGGTTTAACATGACGTTGGACTGAAGCATGAATATGATCAAATTCCTCAAAAAGTGACCCATAAAAAATTTACACACACAAACATCACAAAAACAACAGCCAAAAGTATCCATCCTGCAGGTCCAGTTGAGTTCACCGCTCAGCCAGACTGATTGAATAGCATATAAAATATGTATCCTTTGATTAAAAGGAGTCAAAAGATGAGATTCAAGGTCATGTACCAGAACCGTATTCACAGCATAAGCGGACAGATATCAAGAAATCATTCACTGAAAACAAATTAAGCTCAAAAAATGCTTCCATACGAGAACTGAATTCCAAATTTCATTATTGATTATTTGAGCTTCAATCATTGGCAACGGGTACTGGATGCCCAAGTAACACTACGTCGCCACCCAACACCAGATATTGACAAATGACAAAAACAAGTCAACCTGCAAGATAGTAGACATTAATAAATTTTACCAGCAAAGATGCTTTACAATGGTCCATTGCTAATTGTAATTCTCCAACCGTACAAAAGGCCAGAGCAAGGCTGTCCTCTGCCTGCATGCATTATGTCACATAGAATAAAATGAATTTTAAAATACCAATTGACAAACAATACGACCTTGTTCATCTACCTCAGTTTACAACCTTCATTAGAGGAACTTTATCAGTTTATCAAAATTTTGATCACTCAAAATGGAGGTTAAATGCATGAAGTTGAGATGCACCTCTGCAATACGCTTGTTGTAGGAATGCAAATATGACCTCAGCAGATGAAGAGATTTTAATGCATCTGAAATAGTAGTATTCGAGATTTCTTTTGATATTACCGCATCCTGCAATCTGTCAAATCCAGTATAAGATGGGGAAAAAATGCACATATATTTGGCAAGTCTGTGGACAGCAAACAGGCTTCTCGCTTATGGCTTTACTTTGAAATGAGCACGTGTAAAATTAACAGCAGAGAATCAAGCTAAGCTTGAACTCGGGTTCTATTTTTATATTTCAGGTGAACAAGGAAAGATGTACATCAGGGACTAGGAAGCCAAAGTGAACAATGCATACCTTTTGATGCATATCCAAGCTTTATCAACTGTAGCGCATAAAGACTCTAAATTTCGGTAAGAACCACATCTCAAACAGTAACCAGGCTGAATATGAGCGTAGCCATCATTTAGGTTGAATAAACGTAGACAGGTTTCATAAATGTCATCATTTCTGTTAACCTGAAAGGATGGCCAGAGCTAGGACATCAATGTCTCCCAGGTCCAACCCTCCCCCAAAACCGGGGGGAAAAAATAATTGTATATAGACCCAACATTGTAGAGAAACAGGAGAGTAATTGCTCCTTATTATTCATACTACATTAGCATTTACAAGTGCAACAAAATGGCTTACTTTGTCAGCACCAGGGAAGTGCTTAATTTTCTGCCTTTCCCAGTTGACTACTCTGCTGTCCAAGACTGCACCAGAACAATTTCGGCTGACACAGTGAAAAGCACTAAGGACAATGTCAGAGAGATTGAATTCCGAACAAGCACTGCAATGGCATTGAAATGAGTACTCGTCTTTCAGAAAGGCTTGGCGATCTTTATTATCCCAGAACCCAACCTACAAAAAAGAACTGTAAACGAACTGCATAAAGTACTTGTATAGCAGGCCAAACACGTTAAATTGACAATAGTCACAATACCATTTTTTGGTATCCTTTTAAAAAAAAAAAAAACTTTCTTATGCCTAACTAATTTTGCTAGGTAGGTATGGTTCAATCCACCAAAGTTATTACAAATTCAATAAGTATAGACAAGATCCAAAGGAATTTAAGCCAAAAAGCAGATCAAATGAAAGACTGGCTTTTAGTTACCGGAATTAGTACCTGTGGACCATAGGATAATTCCAGCTGACACCCAGCTGCTACAACTTCTGTCGTTCGTATACACAGAGTACGTGAAAGGAAATAAGCATGAACATTTGGTTGACAAGAATGGTTGAACAAGCTGCCATATTTGTAAATAGCCTTACCCACTCTGACCTGAGATACAACAGGCAATGACTAAGAATCACCATGTTCTAAGTGTCTCAAAACAAAGTTGACAAGCAATTCCACTATCATCAACATTAAAATGAGTCAGACGAGTAAATTGCAAGCCAAAATGAATGAAAGCAGACAAAAGAAGGGGAAAATAACATTGAAGTTCAACGTAGTTTATATACCTGTTCCACATTACTGGTTAAACATCCACTAGCTAGAGATTCTCCAAACTGAACTTGTAGTCCATGAGCATCTATAGATCTTATACGAACAATAGTCATGCAGTTCACTTTGATTTGAGAAAAAATTATGACAACCTGCATTGACCAAAAAAAAAAAAAGACGAGGTTTAAATACACCAACTTTGTTTATTCTTTTAATATATTTAACTTATCTGTTAATTAAATAGAAAAAATAAGTGTTCCAAATTTGAAAAAAATACCAAACAGAATATATTGTAAAACTAACTTCACTAGACTTATCCAGAATTTAGAGTTTGGCAAACAGCCATTAAACTTCCTTTGAGACTCCATAAATTCAAAAATTGTAGTGAATTAGACAGTAGGCTATGGGTGATTACAAAAATACAATCATGTATAATAAACATTAACCTGCACAAATGATCAAAACATTGAACATAAAGCATGATAGTGCCTGTGAAAATTTATGTGAGAAAATAGAGGAAACAAGACAGGATCAAGGCAACCTGTGACATAGTGACCCCATCCATGGAAAACCTAGCACCACAAGAGTGCAGCAGACAGTATAGCAATATAATAGCATATATATGCAAATCCAATTTGCTATCAGATGGTAGTCGTGCATAACAATGAAAAAGCTCCTGCGCAAGAAAGAAAGGGGCCATAAGCATCCAGTTAGTCACTCATATTCAAATACCATTAACACTATCTATCAGCAATATTGCAAAAGCAGTATGCATACTATAATGTATTTATAATTTATACCAGGCTTTTCACAAAGTATGTAATATCTTCGTATGCACTTCTCTGGAAAAACTTTGCTAGTACTCGGCCTGCTAAAACAATCTCAGATGGTAATACTGTAGACCAATGTACACCTTGGCATTCATGTTTATGTTCAGGAATATCCTCAATATCATGTTTAGAATCATTGCCTAATATAATTCCTGTAGCATACGTCCCAAGATCACTGGGTAGACTTTTAAGAATGCCATGGTCTTCAGGATTAATCTTAAACATCTGTCCACCAGCCTGTATCTGGCATTGCTGAGAGCAATATAGCGGTATTGAACAAGATCTACAAGGAACTGCATCAGAAGGTAGGTCATTCAAGCAGTAATGGCAATGTGTTTCTCGGCATTGCTTTAATACTATCTGAAAATATTGACAAATAAGAATTAATTAAAGATAACTCTCCAAGATAACTACATTTGTAGTCCTCAAAGAATACAAATACAATTGGAAAAAAAAATAAAATCATGCATTGATCCAAACATTATTGCAGGCTTTCTATTTAAAAATGAGTGACAACAAAAATATGCAATTACTTGACCCAGTATCAACTTATTATAAAATAGATGTCTAGGATCGACTCGCCTTTAGTACAAAGATGAAGAATTTGGGTCATCCATTTATTGAAATCTGCATTGGGAGTGCAAAAGAACAAAGTGCGTATCATAGTCTTGTCTTTAAGTAAAGTTCAAATGAGACGTGGAGCATCCAATACCATCAAATGCAGCTTTAGTGTGTGTGAGTGCATGTGGTAGTCTTGATTTCTTCAACATTTAATAATCCACCACTAAGCAGAATGGAACCAACGAGATTGCTAAGAGTTTTAAAAAATGCTAAAAATAATTGAGAGTTTGTGATACAACAAAGTCCCCCCCCCTTACCATGGCATAAGGTTCTTCACGATGAACTAAAGAAGCTGGAGGTATGTCACACGATGATATCATACCCCGTCCTTTATCAAGTGTGGTGACCAGCTGTAGCTTTATTTGGGGCATCTCATCTACCAAGAAGGATCTACATCAGTTTCAGTTATTCAAAAATAGAAAATGATCCGATGGGTAAGTTCAGTATTATATTCAAGGATTGCCTATAGTCCATAAATACATTTGAGTAGAGAGCACCTGATGTAAAACAACAGCAGGAACAAATAAAAGTGCAAGGCCTGAACATAATAATGAGACCTCAGGGTAATGTAGAAACTGAAACAGGTACGATGATAAATTAACAATGAACTCAGTCAAAAGCATGAAAGAACCCAACTCAGAAAAATTCCAACTAACTAGATGATTACTAGAGCCTGCTACTTAACAAGAAAAACTTCTCACCTGCTGTATCCAAGCTATTCTTCTCATTCTGAACCACTGAACTTGTCCCCTCGCATTGGTGTAATATATTTTTAAGCTCACCTTTTATTTGTTTCTTCCCGCTCAATGATGATTCCATGCTCTTAGCCACATTTAGATCACAGATTGCATCTTTATAATTTCCCAATGAAACATTCGCCTTACCTCTCCTGTACCATGCCTGAGGCAGGGTTAAGAAATCATTAAAAATGAGCAGAACCTAGGCTAGCATTCAGGTTTGCAGCCATACACTACAATCCCTTGCAGCAAAAATTAGAGCACAGAGTCCCAATAATTTGCTGGCAATAGAGACTCTTCAGGATAGGGAACAAAAAGGCGTCAGCATATTGCTAACTTCAGGGCCTCAAACTCACTGTGTCTATACTCCCATCAGAAAACACTGAGGAAAAGAACTTTGGAATATTTTTTAACTAATCCTATAAATAAAAAACTCCAAAACAGATATTGCCTGCGCAGTTTAGAATATATGCAAGAGTTCCAACACCTTCCTTAACAGTATATATCTAAATTAAGTAGTAGGAGAATAGTTTTAGGTCCACATAATAGTGATATCCACCTTTGCATAGCTTGGACATATCTGAAGAGCTCGAGTGCAGTCCCGCAAACACTCAGTTAAAAGATTCATTTTCTGCAAGAAACATGCTCAGCAGCAATATCAAGGCCAATATTTTAAATCAATTCTGTGGGCATGGGTTTATATGATTGACAGCAAAATCAACCTTACATGCAATACAGTAGCTCGATTAATATATAATATTGCAACCAGATTCTTCTCCAGGTCAATAGCCTCCAAAGGAGCCATACGCAATGCCTGTACCTCATTTACAAAGAGTACGAGAGTAAGTTGATATATATATTTACATACATATATATATATATATTGTGATCACACACACACATATTGTGATCACATATTCAAAGTCCAAACCTACTTACCAAGTAAAGGTGAGTTTTATTATCATCTATTCTTTATATCAATCAATATAAAAATATAAAAGCTATTAATTAAGAGTTGCCCTATTCACAAGTTATGAATGATATAACTCATCTTAAGCCCTATGCATTAGTTTTCTTGATTCAGAGAACGAAATTGGTAAATGAAACCTAAAATGCAAAATTTTAATTGAATGGATAATTTGCTTTATATTTATGGTTTGCATAAAACAATGCCTCAATTTGGAGAAAAAAGTTTACAGGAGTAAAGTATATTTTCCTTTAGCTTTGTAATCTCTTCATGAGCAAGGAATGTGAAAACCTTGCCAACCTTTCCTCCTTTAATCAGAACTGACAAGAGTAGATAGATGAACGCCAGAAGCCTCCACTCCATGGCCTTTCAATTCCAGCTGCAAATGCCACTCGTCCAAGTCCAGCCCTACTACTTTATGCTACCAAGCATCGGATGTAAAAGATAATAACTAAAGTCACGAACTGTTAGGTCTACTTCCGTTTTCATGATTTAGAATAAAATAAATTTTTCTCAGCTCGCTTTCAGCGCAGCTATTGCAGTTCCTTCTTTCCTAAGAGGTGTGACGTGCAGAGTAATTGATATTCTACTACTACCAGCATTTGAATCCATATCTATCAAAAGACAGCACATTTGAGAGAGAAGTTGAGGAAAGAACCTTCGTATAGCAATTCAAAGCCTTCATATAATCTCCTTTCAAGAAGTAATGGTTGCCAAGCTGCTTGGACTCCAAAGCAGCGGTCTCACTCTTACCACATAAAGCATCTTTGGGGTCTGCTAAGTCACTCACCATCTAACAAAATTTTAAAATTGATTCGGCCAATTACTTGACTGAAAAATCAATATCCATCAACTGAAGGAAAAAATTGCATAGCTGAGAGAGGTTTAGCGCGTAGCTTACTTGGTGAAAGGGCTCAAAATGAAGAAAGAAATGGTGAAGAGAAGCACATGTGGTGGGAAGATCATCTGTAGTGCTCTCTCCAATCATTCGCCTCAGGCTCTCCGGGATTGCAGCTTTCAGAGTCTCCATCTCCTACAAGGCTACAACTCGCCTGACGGTGGACTTAGCTCAACGAAGAAGAACGGCGCTTGCAGCTTGATATTTCGCTGCCTTGGCACATTAAACGTCATGTCGTTTTTCATCGGCTTAAGATTACTCTTATTTCCCAATCATTTCTAATATATTTTATTAAAATAAAAAAATTATTATAAAAATTTAATGAAATAATTTATAAATAAAATAAAATAATATATATATATATATATATATATTAATGGATGAGAAAGTATATTGTCATGTCTGACTTGCGCGGGCACAAAGACATGAGTCCTGTTTGAAAACCTGTTTTGAAAATAGTTTTCTATTCTCTAGAATAAAAGAACAAAAAAATTTGTTTGGTAATGTGCTTTTAAAAAGTATTTTAAAAATAAAAAAATAAAATATTGTTCTGGAGAATAGAAAAATAAAAACAACTTTTAAGTATCTTGTAGTTATTATTCTGAAGAACAAGAGAGAATGAAAAAAAAACATATTTTCATTATTTTTTTGTTTTTAGAACATATTCTACAGAACACCAATTATCAGGACAATAAAATAAAAACAGTTTCAAACAGCCCCATGTTTTCTCGTCTCGATTTCTCCGGTTTAATCGTCAAGTGAATTTAGTCAACCGATAAACTTCATTTCAATTGTAAGATGAAGTTTTCGCATCTAAGGAAGAGTCCATGTAAAATTAAAAAACTAACACGTTAAATCTATGAGAGTTGTTTGAAATTATTTTTATTTTATTATTTTAAAAATTAATATTTTGTAGAACATATTTTGAGAAAAAAATAATAAAAATAGGTATTTTTTTATTCTCCTTTGTTCTCTAGAATAATAATCACAGAATACCTAAAAATTGTTTTCATTTTTATGTTCTTCAAAATAATATTTTATTTTTTATTCTTTAAAATACTTTTTAAAAATACATTATTATTGTTGAAAATACATGTTTGAAAATATGTATATATAACAGAGATAGATTTGTTAATAGAGATTAAATAAAGTACATTATTTAATAGACATTGTTTAATTTTTAAACATAATTAATGTGTTTTATTTTTTTAATTTTAGTGAAACATATTAGGAGTAACTTTTAAATAATACAAGAATATATATATATATATATATATATATCGTTTAACAAAAAATCTAGAATAACAGCCCTCACTGAGTGCCAATATTATATATATATATATATATATATATATAAACTCTTGAATTAACCATGTTTTGCTAAATGAAATTTAAATTCTTGTATTCTATTATATGAGAAAATAAATGATTGCCCAGGACAAAAATGAAAGATATAACAGGTCATAAAACATCGTATCAGTAATTGACCACCGAATTTTATATGAACCTCTTCAAACTCTATTTTTCCAAAATAACGCCATTTTGTTGATTTTCAAGGCTTACAATAATTATAATAATAATAAGAGTTAAACAGGATTAATATATAATTTAAATCCTAAATTATAGGTAACGATTTAAATCTTAAACTAAAAATCTGAACAATTTAATCTAAAGCAACCTAAAAAAAAATTGACCGGATGTTGACTGTTAGATGTTGGGGGGCATGGGGGGAGAACTTTTTTTCACCAGATTTTGCCTTCAGTAGCATGCCATGTGCGCGGGTCGATATTTTCATATGGTGAATTGGTATTACAAATGTACCTGGTAATCTCCATCTCAAGATGGCCGAACAAGACGGTGACATAGCCCACGAGTTTTAGCCTAGGTTGCATAAATATGGGTATGAGTATTCGATACGATATAGCATGATATGGGAATACGGTAAATTTTTAAAATTTTAAGATATGGATACGAAAATATTTATAATGTATATTTCAACATTTTATGATATAAGTATAGGTATTTTTAAACAAGAATTTCTAAAGTCATATAAAAATATTTATATTAATTAACTAAAATATTAAATGTTTTTCAAGTTTTTTAGGAATATAGTAAGAAATTATTGAAAAAAAATCATATCATAAATGTTAAAATTTAAAATACATATGTAAAAATATTTTATAAGTATCGTATCGAATATGAATATGTTTACTTTTTTGAAGCATCCATGCTACATAGGCTTCAGCTTCTTCAGTCGTTGTCTTCCGACCCCCCACCGAAAAAGTCCCACCTTGCGATGACCTCATTAACGGCTTCCGTTCCAAAGATGCCATCATCTCCACCGAACCTCCCGTCTCCATTCGGATCTTCCTCCCCAGGATAGCCGACCCGAGTTGAAAACTCCCCCTCCTCCTCCTCTACATCCACGACGACGGATTCTGCATGCAGTCCGCCTTCTCGCTCCAGTACCACAGCTACGTCACCAACGTTGTCGCCGTCTCCGTTGAGTACGATTTATTCCCGTACTGACCCTTCGCGGCCTGTTACGAGGACTCAGGGGCTGCTTTCCAGTGGATCGAGTCACGCGCAGGGAGATCTGGGTTATTCAAGTAGCTCTGCTCATGATACTTTCTGAACAACTTTTCGAAACTTACCCGGTTCATCTTTAACAAGTTTCATTCTTGTTACTATTTATTTAATATGAGTGTGCGCATCAGCAGAAGCAAGGAGTCCGGAGTTTATTGTGACGGGATCATTACTCAAGCTAACCTATTAAGATGCACAGCGTATCCGCTTATATAGTCAAAATCTTTTTTGAGTCCTCCAATGTGAGACCAGACATTATGGTCTGAGTGTTACTTAATGCGGCTCAGTAATTGCCGATCATTTGGCTGAATATTTTTTCGAGCACGTGTGGTGTGAGTTAATATATTACTAAGTGATATTAACCTCCGATAATAAAAATCAATTAAAATCATAAATTATCATATGTTTAAAGAGATAATTGCACTAATTATTATTTTATATTATTATAAATTATTTCAAAATTTATATACATAGTACACATGACAATATAGATGGGAACAGTTTCCCCAGAGATGAGCACATGCAAAGATGAGATCTGAACTGTTTAAATTTTTAATCTAAATGATCCAAATTTAAAATGTTTTATATTACTTTATTAAATAAAAATTTATAAAAATTATAAAATAATTTTAATAATTTTTAATCTTATCTAGATTTAATTTAGAGGATCTAATTTAATATTAAAATTTTTATAATTAAATCTCTCAAGTTTTTCAAATGTACTCTGTACAGTTCAAATATTATATTTGAACTGAGTAGAATACATATAAATAATTAATATATATTAATTATAAAAATTTTAATATAAAACTAAACCTTTAAATTAAATTTAGATTAAATTAAAAATAAAAAAATTATTAAAATTATTTTATAAATTTTTATTTTAATAAATTAATATAAAAAATACTTTAAATTTGAACCGTTCACCAGACCTGCTCATGGTGCTCATCCTAGCGATGATTAGGAAGCCGTTACGGGAAAATACAGCAAAAGACATTCTGGGACTTCTAATTAAAATAAAAACAGGTAAGAAATTTTATTGGTTTTTCTTCTCGAGGATTTCGGGGCGACATGGAAGAATCCAGTAAGACGACATGCGTGAAAACTGAGAACGTTGAATTGAACTTTCACAGGTTACCCCAAGTCCCTCTAAAGTCTCCTTCTGAACGTCCCCGTGTAGCTCCGCCCCACCCGCCCCCCCCCCCCCAAAAAAAAAAAAACAAAAGAAAAAAAAAAGGCTCCTTTAATAGCTTCTCTCTTCTCTTGCATCATTAGTAAGATCTCCACGCTGCATCCATTGTCCCTTTGCCTGAAAGGGACATAGCAATGACAAAACCTGACTCTGAGTTGCTCAACTTCTCTAGGAGGTCCTTGATCAGGCCACCAGCTATATAAGACACCCCTGAGGCAGCAAGTGACATAGCAACGTAGTAGAAGACAGTCTTGGAATAGGATATGGGCGGTCTTTTGGTGTAAACCTTTCCGATAGCAAGGAGAATGATGCATGCAAGAGAAGTTGCTGCTACTGCTGCAAGCTTAAATTCAATTTGAAAATTGTTACGGATCAAGATGCCGTAAATCAAAATAGGAACAGACCCAAATATCAGGAATGATAAAATAGCCACAACTGCATGAAGTATAAAGTTTTCCCGTCGTCCTAGTAGTTCTTGATACCGATCTTCTTGCGTGCTCGTTTGCTGTAGATCCTCTCCAGATTTATCATTTTTTAATTCAAGAAGCTGAAAAGAACCCGGGGGGGGGGCTTGAATGAATTTTATATGGAAAGAAACAGAGTCGGTCAAAACTCAAGGGAAAGTGGCAAGAACTTGAAAGTATGAGAATGAGATTGAGGGGAATGAATAAATGAAGCTCGCTCACATTATGGCTAATGACAAATAGTCCACCGATCAGATTTGCCAATCCCAACGCTATGATATTTACTGCAACGCAAGGCCACAGAACAAACTCATATTATCAACTTAAGTATCAACTTTTGAACATTTATCGTAGCGAACATGAAATTTAAGATTGTAATTCAAGAACTTGAGCCTATGGTCTCTTAAAACTAGAAACATCTAATTCTACCTCGAAAACCAAGTAAGCTTAAATCTGCTTTACACATGGTAACATTAAGTTTTACCATATAGTTCCAAATATAATCTTATCATTAATGCCTGATTAGACTCACAGCTAACCAAGTAGCATAATATACCAACTAGCCATATGGAATAAAAGAAAAAAAAAATATCATCATTGATGTGGTGACTTGTGTATGTAGTACTAATGGATGTGCTATAACAACTATTTGTTTAACTTCAAACATATCACATGAATCTTTATTCATCCATCATTAGATACTTGATTGCATCAAATTATATCGCTCAAACTTATAAAGTACCTTTTACCCTGAGAGAAAATTAAATCCATGTCTAATTATCTTGAGAGCCCAGTCCAAAGAAAAGTGAAAAAAAAAAAAAAAACTTACATGGGGCAGCACCAGAGCCAACTGCAGATGACACAATTCCCAGACTTGTGATTAATTCGATTAAACCTCCATAGACAATACTTTTAAGTATTTCCCATCCACGAGCTTCACCAATTTCAGCTCTTGGTTGTTCGCCAACATAAACTGGAGTAGTTGTGTCTCTCAGAATAGCACCATTAATTGGGAAAGTATCTGCCATCTGAGAGGCACCCGCTTTGATTTTGTCCTCCTTAACATCAACTATCACATCACCCCCTGCGTATTGATTATATTTGATGTTATTGCACAATAAAAAAATCTGCAAAATTCTTGGAAGAACATTTACTGAAAAAGATAAGAGGTAAAAGAAGGTAACCTGTGTCTTCCACATACCTGTCATACCACTGACTGCAGGTTTTGTTTCGCCCTCAGTATTCTCTTCCACTTTCTTTTTCAGCCTAAAGTCTTCTCCGGATGAAATTTTTGTATTTACTCCAGAACTTTGCATGCCGGTAGCTGCATCATTTGCAACCTGTGCTTGAATTATCAATGAGGAATAGCCATTCTGAAAAATTTCAGCCGTCTTGTTTATGTCCGTCAATGACTTCTCAGGCATTCTAGAACCTACATTTGACAGAACCAGAAAATCAGGTTCCCCTTCACCAGGTTTCAGAGTGGCATCTTTTGCAGGTTCTGCAGGATTTAGAAGTGCTTCGCTAGTAATTGCAGTTGCTAAAAGATCCCTCTCTTGGTTGGGTACTAGATTGCTGGAATAATTCTTTGAGGGCAAATTTATAACAGTATTTACTTCTGAGCGATCTGCTGAAGTAAGCAGTAACGTCTAATCATGAAATGCAGCTATAAGATAATGCATATAAAAACTTTGCATTATGTACAATTAACAAGTGCGTGCAGGTTTCATATATAATTCTGTAGTTTAAACGTATACCAAAACAAAATATATATTTACAATCAAGAGAAAATGACCAATATCTTGCAATTGTGACATATCACCAACATACAACCATAATGCTTTATTTAATTTATTTTGCTGGACATGAGTCATTATATGATTTTGCCCCCCGTTTTTCACCCAGAAGAATGATTTTGTCAATTCTGTGCTCAAAGAATAAAATCAAACACAAACAGCAAAATATCGTTGATCCAAAGTAGACCTGTCTTCTTTATATCTGCTGAACCATTCCTTTCCTCTCCCACATTGGTCACCAGATTTCCATTTAGTCCTCCATGCCCAGGCTTAACATCAGGCCAGCTTTTCCATTATCAATACTGCTTGTACCACTAACAGGGCTGTCTGGATGACCATTTTCAGGGGAGTTTATAACATTGGAAGCAAGTGATGATGAATGCTTTTGTCCAGCAGGACCATTTTTAGAATTTTTAGAGGAAGCTTTACCTACAATATTACGTCGAGAAAACAAAAAACAATCATTAGGAGTGGAAAGCTGTATTGCTCAGTTCACCTACGTAGGGCTCAATCTCTCAGAAAAGCTGAGGAAAGAAAACTAAAGAAATTTTAATCAAAGGCGATGCAACGGGGAAGAAAACCATAAAGAGTACAAGATGACCGAGAACATTATCATACCTTGCTCATTACATGTCTTCCCTTTATATGGGGTAAATAGAGATAAGAACCAGCTATCATTCGAACTTGCAACACTTGAAGAGTTTTGCACATGTGATATGGTTATATTTGAAGAACTCGTCATGTCAGATGCAGGAATAGTTGAAGTTATTTGTGAAGTTTCATGCTCACGAGCATGCCTGGAATTCCAGGACAGATTGAAACAATTTCCTGCCAAAATAAAGGGATTTAAGAGCATAAGCAATAAACATCAATCAAGATATGTTGTGAGAAAAACCTCCAGATTGAGGGGGTGCGGGGAGGGAAAAAGTTAAGTCATGCACAAATGTTAGGAGGATAGCCTTTAATTTCCACAAACCTCTGGGAATAAAAATGCTGAAGCATTCTAAACATCTAAATACTTCTTGTTCTTGCACAAGATCGTTATCAACAGGTGGCTGCTGCTCTAAATGACCAGGATCAGAAGTTGAATTTGCATGATCACCTTGGTTGGTTTCATATGCTAGCTTACCCACCCTCTCGGAGATAAAGATAGGGTCCAACTTATCACGCTTTGATTTGTTGTCCAAATTACAAATGGTCCTTTTCCTTTTTCTGAGAATAATCCTCTTGGTGATGCAAGAATTGCAATTAGGACAGAACAAATCATGTGTCTCTTGTTTCGCCAATACAGCCTCAACATTAAGTTCCTTTAGTTGTTGGTCAATTTCCTCTATCAATTCAGGGTCTGCTTTTGTACTAGTTTCACCATCAAAATCCTTAGCATCAGCATTTGTTATTTCAGACGAATCATGCAACAGCAACAATTTTGAATTAGAAGGGCCATTGCCCTTCACAGTTTTCATATCCTGATTGTTGACTCCATTGCATGCGCTTTCTTGAATGTTCGGATTTTCCACTTGTACATTGAATTCTCCTACTCCATTATATGTGGGAAGAACAGACCTTGCACCATCTCCATTTTGAACTTCATTAGATACATTATTGGCTTCATTGTCTGCGAGAATGGCGTAGGTTTCCATCACAACATTAAATTCATGAGACAGTTTATGTGGGGAAAAAAAACAAGAAGAAGAATCGTGCAAGACGTCTGAAAGGAGATACAATGTTTGTTACAATTTTACACCTTCCTACAAGACTCTTGTACTGAAATAGTTAAAGATTATCAAAGTGACCAAAATATATGATAGAAGTATCGTGATATTGGTGATGCCGACTGGGAGAATGCTTCCAAAAATTCAAAATTACAAGTCGCATTTAAAAGAATATTTGAAGAAGGGAAGCGGCATCTTTTTTCTCTAGATATCCTAAAAGCAAGCCACATTTAACTGTTATGATTAATTCAGCAGGTTTCATGATAAAACTAACTCCAAGATATGGCATAATTGATACGGAGAATTTATTTTAAGATGTGGTGACTTCATCAAAACTCCTGCATGGTATCATTTATTCAGCAGGGTGTTATAGAGAGGCTAAGCAGCATGGGGGATCAAAACTGCTTGGTGTGTTCCGGAGATCTTGACATCTTACTGACCTTTAGCTTCACAAACAAAACATGGTCCTTGTTGGATCATGGCTTTGATATTCATCGGCAAGTCAGAGTTTTGCTTAAGATCCGAAATGGGCATAGTCCATAGACTGTCAAATAGCTTGGTCCAGGTGCAGTGGTGACATTTCCATTTTCCTTCATAAATAAGCAAGTAATGTCCACATGTCTACTGATTAGACATCAACAAATCAAGACAATCTGAGGGATGTCTTAGCAACGTGAATTGAATTACTCGAATAACACCCAAATAAATAGACTAATTTCAACAGGAAGACTAAATCCATTGCTTGACAGAAATTGAAAATGACCAGTGCCGTTCACAATCGACACATAGAAGTTGATTTGAAGATACCAAAAAAGACGACCATGGAACTGGTGATTATCAGATATAAATGAAATGAACTGATTAAGAAGACCCAAGATTACTGTATATTCTATAATCTTCAAGAAACCGATTAATTAAGATGCCATAGAATGAAAAGAAACACGAGGGATATTTAGTGTGACATACCTTCTAGCTTGTCAAAGTAGACGCTATTCTTATTCTGAGATACAGCAGAGTTTTTACTAGTTACAGCCTCTCCATTAGATGGTGCTCCTGCAAATTCTGCTACAAGTCCAGGTGCAACTGCGGCGTTATCAGCTCTTGCATCTTGACAATGATTGTCATCATCTCCCCTAAACTCGCCCATCCCTGCAACCTTTTCGCCTTTCCGAATAAGAAGTTTCTCCGGATCAGAATCGAGTGAGGGAACATAATCATTAGCATGCCCAATACCTCCATTGGCAGTAGGAGGAGAAGATGATGATGATAGGTTCACATTGGAAACAATGTTGTCCTGAAGTTGCTTCCGGGCCTGCCTTCCTTCCCAGGCGACCTCCTCCTGAACTTGTTCTTCATCTTGCTCAATAGCAGCCCATTGAAGGTGCTCGTTTGCATGCTTCTGCTCCATTGGGTTGATGTTTGGCGGGTGACAGAGGAGGATTTATCATAAAAGGAACGAATTTGAAGCCTTGTAATTGTCTGTGACGCTGAAAGGGTAAGAATAGAGCCAGAGCCCACCTCCAATGAGGAACCTGTGGACCAATGACATCTTTGTGTACACAGAAATCTACAGTGCAACACATGCCCCACTTGTGAGTGTGGGACCTGAGCAGTTTGTTGGCAATCATTTGTTGTGGCCCTGACAAAGCATTTATAACAGCATTTTTTTTATTTTTTTAAATCCAAATAAAAAGGCTTGAAAATTAATTAATTAGTAATTTATAATAAATGAATGAGAAAATGATAAGAAAATTATTTTGAATCATATAAAGAAAAATAAATAATAAAATCCTTTTAAAATATGTAAATGATAATTTAATCTCTTAAAATTTTATAATTTTTTAAAAATTTTTAGGAACTTTTTTAAAAACTTTTTTATCGTTACTGAATTTATATAAATTATTAAATTATTTTTATTAAAAATAAATAATTAAAATTTTTATTTAAATATTTATAATTTTTTTATTATATTCACAACAATACAGCACTAAATAAAAAATTTAACATACAAAATTGTGATTTATTATTACATTGTTAAGAATATAAAAAAAAAGTTGTGAATATTTAAATAAACCTTGTAAATTATTTATTCTCAATAAGGATAATTTTATAATTTATATAAAATTATTAATGATGAAAAAGTCTCTAAGTACTTACGAAAAATTATAATATTTTGAAGGATCAAATTATTGTTTATATATTTTAAAAATTTTATTATCATTTTTTCTTATATAAATGGTATCATGATCCCTCAAAATGTTATAATTTTCTTCAAATCTCTTAAAGACTTTTCTATTATTAAAAAATTAACATAAATAATTTAATTGTCCTTAATTCAAACTTATAAATTATCGTTGAATTCTTGTAATTTTAAAAATAAAGTTGTAAATTTTAAAACAAGATTTGTAAATGATAATTGATGTTTGTAACACTTAACGAATATCATAATTTTAAATACGAGCTTATAAATTTAAATTTTTATAATTTTAAGAAGAAAAACTGTGAATCTTATAATAAAACTGATAAATGATAATTAATATTTGTAACATTTGAGGAATATATAACGAATTGCTATTAAATTTTTACTATTTTAAAAAGAAAAGTTATTAATCTTAAAATAAAATTTGCGAATGATAATCAATATTTAAATTGATAATAATTTAATTATTTATATTAATTTTTTAATAATAAAATTTTTTTTACAAAGTTCATCGTAACATTTTGAAAGAATAAAATATTATTTATATGATTTAGTAAAATTTTATTTATTTTTGTAAAATGAATTGTGGTTGGGCCTGCGGGGAGGGGAAGTTGAGTTGAAGTGAGTGCAAGAGGGACCATGCGGCCATGCCGATTCCCGACTAGCCGTGCGGTGCTCATTTTCCGTGCTTTAATTGCTCATTAGTTAAAGAGAGGGGGGAAAAAAGGAAATTAAAAAAATAAAAAAATAAAAATAAAATAATCAAAATATAAAGAGAGATATGTGAACTATATTCATAAAAAAATAATAATTTAGTTTATAAAATTAAGAGTCATAATTTTAAGTTTTTTAAGAATGTGATGATTATCATATTTGTAAAGTTTTATCATGTTTATCATAAAAAAAATAATGATTTAATTTATTTTTATTTTAATTTTTTAATTTATTTAATTCTTATCAATTCTAGCAACCAAATTCGGTATAAGAAATTAGCACGATCTAGATCCTTACTCCTTGATGTACATTTATAAGTTATTCTCAACTTTCTTTTTTTTTTTGAATCAAGAAATTTTAAAAGATATTAATTAAATATAATTAATTAATATCAACGCTGAAAAAGAGATTAAAAAAATTACCCCATCCTCTTTTTATTATATGATATTTTTCGGAAGAATATTTTTGTTTTTAATATAAAGCACTTATGATCGTTAGTTATATTTTTTTATTATTATTCCTATTAAAATTTATTAATTATAAAAGATAATGTAATATAAATTTAAATTTTTCAACTAAATAGGGGTATGATAGAAATTTTATTTTATTTTTAGATAAAGTTAACTTAATTATTTTTTAAATTTCGATGAGGTGGCCATAAATGTCTTATAACAGTGATCAGACGGACCATCATAAATGATCAATGTAATGTACTCCCTTTAACTAAATTTATAAAATATTTTTTAGGAGTATTAGTATCTTAGAATATAAAACATTTTGATAAATATAATATTTTATTTATAATTTTTGTTAATATTATCAACCTTATTGTATTTTTTTCATCAATATCCTCCCATAAATAAAATATTAAATAAATTTTTTTTAATTTTTTAATTTTATTTTTAAAAGTAATATTATAAAATATATTTAAAGAGTTTTTTTAATATATATAATTTTATTTTAAAATATTTACATCCCTCCTTTGAGCCACGCTGTCTCTTTGACTTTGTTCCTTCGGACATTTTCTTAAAACTATTTTTTTAATATATAGTCAGGATCTTCTCATAGGACAATCCGATATTTATCGAATCAAATCTGAAATTCATATATAACTTAAAAAACGGAGCAATACAGGGGGACAATCCGATCTTCATAGTTGTCTTTCCCCCCACTTGAAAAACAAGTCTCTTCAGTCATAGAGTGCTTGCATCAATTGACAACAATTATTTCAATTTAATCAGAAATTTTGAGTTCAAGTTTCAAAAATGTAAGTAGCTTAAGCAACCAAAGGTGTTTTAGAATTAAGAATATCAGTTGAGTTATGTGTGTTGGCTTGAATAACTGATCATGATGGTCGGGTCAAGTCAAATTGAAAAAAAAAATAACTCAAATAAAAAAGAGTTTTTCTCCTAGACCATAAAACTTGCAAGTCTTACATATCAACCTTGATGGATTAGAATTGACTTATTTAACTTATATTATTTTTTAAAAAAACTAAAAGGGGCAAAATTTTGTTGGCATAAATTATATTAGGTATGATTTATTTAATTGAATCAATTTATATATTTTATACGAACAGCATAAATTAATATTTTTGTATGTTTAGAATGAATAACAAAAAAAATATCAAATTAAAACTTATTATTCAGATGTATTTTTTAAATTCATGACAAAATAAATGGGCTAACAAGTTAGCCCATTTAACCCGTCAGTTTTTAAAGGTTAGATTGAAATTTTTTTAACTCATATAAAAATAGATTGAATCTAATATAACCTATACTTTTTCTAACCTATGTGATCTGAGTTGGCTCAAATTTTTAGCTCTAAATGCTCACCCTTTTGGTACTTATCATGCTTTAATTTGGATTAATTTAAATTTCATTAAATCCCCACAACTCAAGTGAGATGGGACTGGGATAGCCGGTGTTTGCATTAAAAAAAAAAAAAAAAAAAAACGTGTCCCCTGGTTTGGTTTGCTCAAGCCTTTTAATTTGAAGGCAAGCCAATGATGAATCTAGCTTTTAAGGCTTTCAGTCTATATTTTCTCTATTTTATTTATATGATAAGGAGAAAATTTTTTATTTTATTTATTAATCACCTTATTAAATTTTTATTATAAATTTTTTATTAAATATTAAAGAGAGAAAATATATTATTAAAATATGTATATTTAATAGAAGTAAAGTTAAAAAATTATTAAATTTTTAGATAAAGTTAATAAGTTTTATTTTTTTTAATTTCAGTAAAACATGTTATAAATACTTTATAAAAAAGTATCTATTATCAAATTTGAACTAAAGCTTACTCTTCATTTATGCGTAACATCAATACATCAATGAATTGATCTTTAAATTTTGTAATAAACTGGATATATATATATATATATGCGCTAATTAGTTAGCCGTTGCAGGTATATTTAGGATTTAAAAAAAAGCCTAAAGTACTAGGGAGTTATTTATCTTTTACTCGCATTTCCATACATAATTACATTAATGAAAAAGAGGCAACAGAAGTTAGTTTTTTTTTTTTTTAAGATGTGATATGAAATGCACAAATTTTGTTTATATCACTGAAAGACGAATTAATATTTCCCACTAGCTTTGAACATTTTTTTTTTTTAAACAAGGTTGAAACTTGACTCGAGTATTTTTTTTTTTTTTGCCGACAAACTTGACTATAGAAATAATTCATCGTTAAAAGATTTTAAAATGTGATATGTTATGCACCTAAAAATAAGCTCACCTGCGCCTATACCCTTCTGCCTCTCACTCTATCTCCACTAAACTGGTCATTTCATAAATTAAGCGATCTTGATATACTTTTATTTCCTTGCACGACAATAAAAGCTGGAACGTTTCACACGATACGCCAGTAGTTAATTAAAATTTCGTTTGCATCATATCTACACCTAATCTCATGACAGCCTGTCATGATTCATGAGCAGCTGACGAAATATATTAAAAAATAAATATTCCTATATTCAACTAGTTTCACATATTTAAAAAAAATAATTTTTTTTCTTGACATTATTAAAAAAATGGTATGTATTTTTATTTTTATCTTCTTTAAATAAGAATATAAATATATTAAATATCTTTACATTAATAAAAAATAAAATTAAAAAAAGTGATTTATAAAATATTTTATATTTTAAATTAAAAATTATTTTTAAAAAATATTCAAAAATAAAACTGGAAGAGTATACAGATCACAGAAAGTTAGGGAGTAGCACACCCGAAGAACGAAAAAGAACTTCACTTCCGTAATGTTTACTTGGATGGCCAGTTGCATTATGATTTCACATTACAGCAGGAAATGTTTAATACTTTTTTCATTAAAAAATATAAAATATTTTTAATAAAATCTCACAATTTAATAAATTAATTAATTATCTCTCAACTAACATTATCTTTCTATACTTATTAATATCACTTTTGAAAAAAAATGTATTAATTACACTTTGAAACAGTAAAAATATTTTACATTTTTTGACATCTAACACTTTAAAAAATGACTTATATTTTTTCAATGAAGAGAATAGATACTTAGTTATGATAATGCTCCCTATCATTTTATTTATAAAAGAGAGAGAATGATTTTTTTAATTTTATTAGTAAAACATATGATTGATTTCTAGTCACAAATTTTTTTTTTACCCTTCATTAAATGTTGATGAAGAAAAAAAATTATTAAAGTAGAATATATATATATATTTAATAAGAGAAAAATTAAAAAAATAAATTTTTAAAGAGAATTAATGAATTTAAAATTTTCTTTGATTCTAATAAAACATATTAAAAATAACTTATAAATAAGACTCTATGGAATATAAATTAAGTGATTTTATACATTCTGTTAAACAAAAGTTGTTACTATAGAAATGTGAAAAAAAAAAAAAGAATGAGCTTAAGAACCATATTATTTAAAACCTTATCTAGTATGTTTAAATAATAATATTTTTATTACTATATCTGGTAAGATAAAAATAGAAAAGATTCAATAACAATTTACCAAATTATCTTTAATGTTTGATATGATGTAGTGACATGTAAAAAATATAGGCACATATGTAATTTTTCTTAGTTCTCCCACATTGCACAGCACCAGATTCCCATTAATTTGATTGGATGATCTGAGCCTATTTGAAAGATAAGGAATGAGAGAAGGATTCCAATTCCCTTATGCCAAACTTGGCCTTGCACTATTTAATCACCTCCCTTTTCCATAGTGTTGAATTCACTCAAACCAGAAATACCAAGAAACTAAGAAAGAGATGAGGCCTGATCATACACAACGGAAAACAAGGAAAAGATGTTGATCCAAGGTTTAGTATCCAGAAAAATACTTTTTTTTTTGAAAGAAAATGAAGGATGTATCCTGAAAATAAAAAAAAAGGATAAGAGCATTTATCATTTCATTTTTAAAAAACATTTTTGTATCTACCAAACATTACATGAATTCATTAACCTTTCCCACCTCATATAATACCTCTTTGTTCTTTTGCTTTTTGGGCCCCCCATTTAATACCATTAACTTGCCAATACAACACTCTTCCATCACTGTTAGCAACAAATCTATTAACTAGAGTAATATAAAAACCACTTCCTCAGTCGTTGTCGAGAATTTAATTTTGAATCTCATTTTTATGCAAACATTTTTACTAAATTTGAAAATCATGTCCTCTCAAACTAACTGATAGAAGTCTGGCTCGGAAAGCTTGCATAATGAATTCTTTCAAGGCTAAATTCACATAGAAAGCGCAGGAAAGAGAGTAGCACGTATGAGACCAGGCAAGGCTTCTCTCCCTTTGCTGCGGAACAGTGAGCAGGTCATTTGCAGCTCTCGCCCTGTTACTAAGATTATATGATCCACGTAAGGGTTTTCTTTCCTGCGAAAGAGAAGAGAATATAAGATGGTTAAGAACGCAAATAAGATTGCAAGAACATAACATGATTCAGTTCTTTTAAACAGCTCGATAAGAGATAATATTGCTGCAGCAGCAATGGATTGTCTGGAAGTGCATCCACAGAGTTATTGAGATAAGCATATTTTCATGGACTTGTAAATAACATATCAAATGGATACATAGCTGTGATTGGGGAGAAAAGCTGCCACCTTTCAGGAGGACAAAATCAAAGAATAGCTATAGCCAGAACCCTGACAGAGAAGCTTGCAGTCTTAAGGCACGAAGAAGCACAAAAACAAAAAACAAAAACAAAAACAAAAAAGATTCTTGAAAGAACTACAACTTAGGCTTTAAAAAGCAATATATGCAAGGATAGTAGCTTGTGTTCAAGAAGCACCCACCCATATCACGACAGTTCACAAGCTTTCCACCATAATAAACTCAATTGCTATAATTGTCATGGATAAAGGCAATCTAACGGAAATAGGATCCCATTCAATCCAAACGACAGTAGGCAGAGTTCATTATTCAGACTATCTAGCTTTATAGAAAATTGATTCAGTTTACGATTTTTTTTTTAAGCCACAGTATCTATGCATCTAAGAAAATACATACCAAGTATACAGCTAAATTGTCATCCGTCGCCTTCCCTTGTAAACAAAAAGGCCAATGGAAATAACTCGGTGGCTCAAGATAGAATACACCAACATAGTAACTTGATGTTGCATGGAGCTTTAAATGGCCATCTAAAATTCAAGAAATATGCTATCGACAATCTTGAGATTCTGCATCTCCTCTTCACTGGCAATTCCAGGATCAACATAACACAACTGAAATAATACAGATCATCAAACCTAATAACTTGATGCTGTAAGAAGAAAAGATATAATTTTGCAAGAGAAGACAAACCTGATATTGTGGCTTCTTCAGCGTGTGAATCCCTCTTTTAATGTATCTCTGCCATCCGAATTTTTCTCTGAGCGATCTTTCCAGAGCAGCAGTTTTCTGTGATGATAAGTCACAACATTGGAAATGATACACCACCATGTGCAACATGCTTTTGCCAGAATATTTTTCTGTGCGTACAGAGAGGGAAAAAAAAAAAACACAGAGAGTATCTAAATGACTAAACCTACTTCCATTCCATCTATTTAAAAAAAAAACAAGAAGAAAGAAAATGACTAACAACAACAACAACAAAAGTATACTACTCATATAGCATGCACTCTAAACCAACATTCTTCTCAGAACCCAGAAAGACTGCCATCTTTTAGAGTTTCAAGTATTTGCAAAATTCAAGTTTATTCATTCTCAAAGTTGTCTCAAATATAGGGTGACCTTTACTTGCTGGCCAATATCAAATCAGCCCCCATGCTCTTAACTGAACAAAGTTATACATAAAGATACTTCATATTTGAATGAATCATGATGTGCAAACACACAAAGACGTATAAAAAAAATCCAATTGAACAATAAATATTAAGAAGTAACGACCAAAGACCTAAAGAAGAAAAAACTTACATGAGACGGATCAAAAATGAGGAGACTATATTGCAGAATTCCAGTCCGCTCAAGTTTAACTTGAATCCCAACTATAGTTCTTGAATGTCCATCATGCTGAAAGTACAAAGGCCTGTCCAAGAAAACTTCTCAAAAATTTAAAAAATGATAAGAGATACAATCTTTTCTGTGGTCAGAATTTTTGTCAATTTGCACCCAAACTTACGATTTCTCACTGATAATAACACGTTGGTGGCCAAATTGGATTGAACAATTATTAGAAAAGTAATTCCACACAAAGTCCATGAGAACTTGATGACCTTTACATTTGTTTGCATTATCATCACATGATTTGTCCATAGTGCCATCGAGCTGGATGATAGAAGAATTTGCCTTTTCATTCTCAGTAGACTTTGCTTGGGAAACATCACGAGACATATATCTATCCATTGGTCCATAAGCATGAAATGCTTTCCTTTTACTTCCATTACAAGTTTTCATTTGCATTGTCCCCAGACTTGAACCTGGGACTGATAGATAAAGTGATTCAGATTCCTTTGGACCAAAATCTACTATTCTCGCCCGAAGCCCGAAAGAACGCAAAGGGAAGCACATTCAGTGGTCCCAATCCATTTTTTTGAACCATAAATAACATGATTGAATTGATCAGAACCAGCTGCATCAAAACCACTTTCCAGGCAATCTCAAGCCATCTCTGGAGTGATGAGATATCAGGAACAAATACAGAACCACCAAACAAAACTTCTCTAGCTTCTGGCCTTTGTGCCATCAAGTGAGAGCTAAGCATTTGAATATTTCGCCAACCACAGCCCCATCCAACATCCTCTGACTCCACGCTTTGGAAATGATCAACATATCCTGCCAGAATGGCTTTTGAGTCTCCCGGTTCAGACTCTAAACAATTTCTTAATAAGGCCATCAAACCCCCTTCAACTTTGTGAAATGTACTCCTTGTCTGTAAATCAATCAAGCAAGATTTCTTTTCCTCCATTTTACACATTCCAATATCTCTAGTCCTGCCACCACACATAGAATTTTTATCTCCAGGAATTGTTTCAAACTGCAGGCCACTGGCTGCGTGTTCACCCTGAAGAGTATTATTGTAATTTTAATTATAAAATTATAATTATCATCATACATGACAATAAACAGATCTTGTAGCTCTTTTTTTCGCCCCTTCATACACAGGCAAAATGCAATGCATACAGAAAACGAAATTAACAGAAAGGAAATCATTGGAGTTGGAGTCCAATTCACAAGTCCGAATATAGCATAAACTGCACATGTCGTTCAGCAGACATATTGACAAATGTCAAAGGGGTCAGCTAACTAACTCACTCCCAATAGTTAGTTAGATGACCCCTCTGGCACATCAGTAGATGGACCATTTACCTTTGAAGCATCTTCTGGAACAAAATGGCATTAATCCATATCAGCAGAATTGTCTTCTAAGTTTTTCTGTTTGTTCACATCCATATCAGCATCTTCTAGAACAAAATGAGATTAATCCATGTAAATTTTGGGGTTTGAACAAACCCCTCCCCTCACCTCCCCTTCATTAACCTTCTCTCCCTTGAACCAAAAACTATGTTAAGTTGTCTAGGGAGAGTGATGAGCAATAGCAGGCTTTAATCCATGAATTGGAACGTAATCCTACTGCCAAGCCTAAATTTTCTTAACATCATCACTGCTTAAGCCCAATGGCAGACTTGGTGGGGCTGATAGGGGATAAAGAGAAGACTTAGCTTCTTTATCCTAATGGGAATGGAGGACATTCAGGAATGACTCCAACATACAGACAGATTTCTTATCTCTTCTACTGGAAAGGACTGAAACGTGATGTTCACAATATTGTCCAAACTTCCTTAGCCTGTCACTGTCAGCATCTTAAACCAGAGAACGTAGCTTCTCCAGGTCTTTAATAACTATTTCCAATCCCCAAGATATATGCCTATGGTCTAAACTCTCAATGGACTGTATAGGTGGGTTACCCAAGTCTTGCTCTAAGACCACTATCCTGGTTGGGGTCAATTGCTTAGGCAAGGCAGCACATTTCCTTGCTTTGGAATACCCATATACTGCTACTACAGATGTAACTCAGGATGACAAAGCAGTCAAGCTTCAGAGATTTCCCAAGTTTATTGTTACTGATAGGGACAAAATTTTTCAGAGATTTTGGAAGGAGTTGTTTCACCCATAGAGTTAAGCTACAATACTCTTCTATTTGCCATTCACAGCCGGATGGCCAAATAGAGGGAATCATTGTCTAGAGTGTCACTTTCTACATACGACGAGGGACTTCCCAAATCAATGGGCTAAATGTTTGCCATTACCTGTGCTTTGGACATTTGGTATAAGCCTACTTATCACTCTGCTATGGAATGACACCATTTGAAACTGTTTATGGCATTCCCCCACATACTCTTGGTTGGCGATTCTCCTACTGAGCTGGTGAATAAAACTTGCTTGACTAGGAAGCTTACAATTCAGCTTCTCAAATGACATCTGTTGAAAGCCCAGTTCTGGATGATCCAGCAAGCAAGCAAACACAGGAATAGGCATTGGTTTGCTATAGGAGATACGATTTACTTGAAACTTCATCCTTCAGGAAGAATCTCATGTAATTCTTCCCTCCATAAGCTGGCTGAAAAGTATCTTGGTCCACTTAAGGTGATTAAGAAAGCAGGAGCTGTGGCATATGAGCTTAAGTTGCCTACCAATTAACATGTACATCCTGTTTTTCACATTTCTTTTCACAAGAAGTTGTCATGATAGAAGGCTTAAGTGGGACGGGCCAGGAGGTTGTATGGGTTGGGAATGAAATGAGTGGGCCCAAAGTCTTTTGGAGGTGAGAGAAGGAAAGACAATATGAGAAGGATGAGTTTTACGGTAAAGGATGTGGATGAATTTTTGTGAAGTCTTTCTCTGACGTTTCTTCTTCTCTCTGGCCATTATCATTGTGACTCTGGAGTTTCTCCTCCTCCTTCTTTCTGCAACTCTGTCACTTCCCCGTTCTCTTATATTTCTAGTTTCTATTACTTATGGTCATGTAATTTTCCCTTCATCATATTGAAACGGTGTGTTTAGGCTTCAAATTTTCATTAAACAGAGGCTAGTTGTGTTTTATCATCTGAGTAAATTTTGAGTTCATTACAGAAGTCTGTAGGTCCTGCTGCAGTGGTCACTCCCCCACTGCCTTTGATAGATAACCAAACCCAGTTTATGTTGAAAGCCGAAGAGGTTTTGGGAAGGAAAATAGTAAGCGTGGACATCTACCTGCTTACCCAAGACCCAAGTGCTGGTCAGGTGGAAGTACCCCAGTATTGAAGACAACATGCGAAGAATTGGCTGTTATTCGACAGCAATTTCCCGTTTTTCCTACTACCGTACCACTCACCAACACCGCAAGGATGTTTGTTAGGGGGGAGTATTCATACGTGTCAAAGGGAACTATTGGGAGTGAGTGAATTAGCGTTCGTTACTTGGCTGTATAGGAGAGGGGTCCTAAGTACACTTACGCCCTATGTACATTGCATTCTGATGAAATCAGATTTTCCTAGTTTTTTTCCGCTCTTCCATTACATATTTCATTTCCATGTGGATAAACGATAAAGATGAACGAGACCCCGACAAGGCGAACATCCTAGAAGGCTAGAAATAAACGTTTCAATTGTTTTCTCCCCTTCCATCGATAAATGAGATAAAAGCCCGAGTTTGTGCATTGTGAAAACCAGAAAAAGGCTCTTGTGGTGGTGGAAGTACCGGAACAGATCGAGGTGGTGAGTTGGGAGAGAGCGCAAATTGCTGGGCCAACTCAAAATCCATAGCGAGTTGCTGCTGCTGGCGGCGACCATCGTCATCCTGGAAGTGGCTGTCCGCGTGCCTGCATTTTCATCAAGGTTCGATCGTTTATGACATAAATTACACGCGAAAGAAGAATGATAAAGATTGAAAAAGAAGAAAGGATACCGTTCGAGTTCGGACAACGGAACTGATAAATCACAGAATGGGCAAGTCGAAGAATTCATTTTGCCGATGATTTTATCAGCCATCAGAACCAGAAAGGAGTGGGACGACAAAGCGACGAAACCTTTCCCTTTCCTCTTCCCCTTCCCCCCTCAGAAGTTTGAACGGAACGTGGTGATTTTTTTTTTCCCCAACTTTTTTAGTGAAGGGGGAACTGTATCAATCACCAAAACATCAACAGTACAACGACCAGATACCAGCTCCAAGAGAATCAACATCACAGTTCCTCACGTTCCTTCCTCCTCCTCGTGAAATCGCCCTTCATTTGAAATTTGCTCTTAACTTTAAATACTCCCTCCGATCTCACGAAGGCACTTTTAAAAATAATTTTTAATTTAAAATACAGAATATTTTATAATAATTAAATTATTTTAATTTTATTTTTTATTAGTATAAAAATATTTAATATAATTATATTATTATTTAAAAGTAAAATAAAAATAAAAGAACATCTCACTTTTTTATAATAAAAAGTTAAAAATATTTTATAATAAGAATTGAAGGGAGGAAGTCACAATCTTCATATTCTATCAATGATATATTAATTCTATCATTTTTTGTTGATGTGGCATATCCTTTAAGATTAATTTATCTTTAAACTTTTTTTTAAAAATACTAAATGCTCTAAAATTTTGTTAAAATAAAATTTAATAAATATTATTAAAAATTTAATATTTTATTTTTTAAGAAAAATAATGTTAATTAAGTCTCTTAAATTTTTTAGGTAATTCTATGTATTTTTTTAGTCAATTAATGATTAAATTAATGAATATTTAAGACTAAAGTATTACTCCCTCCATTCAAAAATGTAAGGTATTTTTTAAAGAGTTTGATGTTTAAAAATGTAAGACATTTTTAGTTTTTTTAGGTGTAATCATTATCTTTTTTAAAAGAGTCCCTATTAATAATGACTTTATATTTATTATAGGGTATTTAATAGGGATAAATATAAAAAGTCAGAATTAATTAAAAAGTAGGTAATTACTTTATTTGGGGGTGAAATTCATTAAAAATATCCTACGTTTTTTAATGGAAGGATTACTTGTTCTTAATTTGTATTTTCATATAATATAATATATCTTCAATTTTAAATTGAAAAAATGAGCTACAAATTTAATAAGATAATATTAATTTTATCTATTTATTTGGAGATCATTATCTTCTTTTTAATATAAAATTGTAAAATATCAAAATATTAAATTTGAGTGTTTCAATATTTTGAAAGAAAAATATTAGTTGATCAAAAATTATAGAGAATATTCTAAAAAAATTTAAAAGACTTAATCATTATTAATTTTTTTATAAAATCATTTTTTATAATTCATTTGAAATTATTATTGTTGTTATTATTAAGTTAAAGTATATATATCTCCCAATACTTTTTATAAAAAACATTGGACATCCTGTATTAAAAAATTAAGAATTTTTTCTTCTAACCATTTTTCAGAAAAATACAAATCTCCCTCCATTAACACATCACTAATGGAGAGAGACTTTTGCTTATCTAAAAAATAATTTTTAAAAAAATATTTCATTTAATAATATAGAATACCCAATGCTTTTTAAAGAAAATACAGAAAAAATAAATACACTTTAACCCTATCACTTATTTGTTGCATTATTTATTGCCAATTTACATATTGACACTGAAATTTTTGGTAAAGTTCTTCTCTTTTTTTTTTTGGAGAAATTTTTTTGGTAAAGTCCTATAACTGTAGACGGCATATTTCATTAGAACTTATACTGGAATGGATCGCTAAATTCAATTATTCATGGAAAATTGAATGATCTAACGCCCCCCCCCCCCCAAAAAAAGGAAAAAGAAAAAGAAAAAGAAAAAGAAAAAATTGATCGGGGTGGGGATGAAGAGCATGACTGAATTTCAGTGTATTGATTCCTCTGCATAATCTGCATGGCCGATTTGGTTCTGGTGTCCTGTTCCAAGTGAATGCATCTTCTCAATGAAAAATCACCAACTGTTCTTCAAAATACCAATGCCATTTTCTACATCCACCTTGGCATTGGCATTTATAGAAGGGAAGCAAGTTCCTCATTTCAGCAATACAATACTTAAAGTGTGAATGCGTAACAGAAGCTTACCAGTTCATGATCAGGAAAAAAACTTTTGGTGTCTGTAACCACATTCAGTGAGGATATGTACACAATTCTATTGGATCCCCCCCTCCCCCAAGCTCGCTCTCTCTGTTATTGAAAAGGTGCTTGTTCTGTATATGTCATAAGCACCATTTCGTAAAGCCACTGTAATTCTTTAGTCAGCATCAACTCCCTCAACTATTGCATGAACCTAAGAAAAAGGTCATCGTTTCAGCAGGCTTAAGATTCATCTTTGTTCATGACTCGATTCCCGCTCCTAGAAAGAAGATCTCTCATTTCTCGGTAACTCTTTAGCTCTTCAAGTGCATCTGCTGTCTTTCGAGGCATGAAGAATCCAGAAGCAGTAGAAACTCCTTCCTCAAATTCAGTTTTCAAGGAAACGGATGAGTAACAACTTGGATCTTGGCGCAAAGGAGGTGCATTCCTAAGGATGCGTACAAGATCACCGACTAAAGCATCCTGTGACTTTCTCCCAATTGGCAGTGATGTCGAAGTGATTTCTGAAGCATTCATACCAGCCACATTTTGACTGTTCACCCGAGAAGAAAATCAAGAAAAGCAAAACGCAGTCAATAAGACACTAAATCACAAATAATGCAAAGGCAAATGTACATTTAGCATTCAATCCTTTAATTTTATAAAATATTTTTTCCAGTCATCTAAACCCAATATTGTTAGTTTCAAACGATTATTTTTTGTACCAATCTTTCTTGTTTTAAAAAAATTAAATTTAATATATCAATATTTGAAAATGTTTTATCAATATTTAAAAGATCAATATATAAATTTTTTGCAATAAAATTAATGGTACTCAGGTTAGAGGACTAAAAAAAACACTTTATAAAATTTTTTGCATAAAATTAAAATACTAAATGTATGCTTTAGCCTAATGCAAATTAGAGATCTGCATGGCAGATATAAATAACGATGCACTAAGTTTTCAATGACGTTTAAGGTGAATGACAAGGAAAATAACAAATCTAATATCTACTAGACATAAGTAGCAACCTGAACCTAAAAAGGTTCATAGAACATCAAACAATAAGAAACAACTTATCATTAGTGAACAAAGGATCAATGGATAGTGGCAGCCTTTCAAAAAAAAAAAAAACAAACAAACAAACAAGCAAACTCTAGGAGAAGAGTAGCCAGCAGATGCGTGACAATGACATGCCTCTCTACAAGTTGCGGCAAGTCTAAGGATAATGTGTTCGACTTCAGGAGTGGTGGTCCCAAAAGCACTGGCACACACACACCCATATATAGCCAGGCAGATCGTCATTGTATATACAAGATGTTAACAATGAGATACAATAGGTATTTGGATCTCCTTCTGCACTTTTCTCTAATTCTCATATTCTGCACTCACAAGAAAGCTAAACAAAACCTTTTAAAAAAATAAACAAAAAGACAAAGGAAGGGGTCTCCTGTTTCAAGCTCTAACACGAGGAGCAGCAGAGCAGAGGGGCATTAAAAAATAAAAAAGTGCAATAATTAAGTCAGAAACCGCCCGTTTAAAAAATTATTTTGCTTGTTATTTGAAAAAAGAATCACAGCAACACTCTGGAAGTCACACAGGAAATAAGAAACCGGGGCAGAAAAAGGGCATTGGAATATTGACTGACATATCAAATGTGGTTAGGCAAAAAATTACGTCTTCATCCATAAAAAAGTGCTAAAATTGATACTGAAAGGTTATACGATGCTGAAATTATCAAATCAATGTTTCTATTATTGCTTTCCATTTCATTCAAGTTTCTCTACCTAGAAGAATACAGAAGATGTCTATTCCATTTAGATGAAATAAAAATGTATAATAATATCAGAACAAAACAAGCTGTAATTGTGCCATCCACATGCAAGAGGTGCGGTTTATTTCAAGCACAGCTCGCACCTTGGTTGTTAAGAATGTTCAACAACACTGGGTATGGGCATGCAGTTGTAGACCAACCAAGGTGCAAAAGCGTTTTAAGCAAAATAAGAAACGATGCTAAAGTGTGCCAGATTTCATTGTTCAAACCAAGTTTAACAACCTAAATTATTCACAGAAGGACAAACAGAGATTTGGACGAGAGAATGCATGCATTCTCCTTAATGTATGCATGCATCTACAATATTGTCAGCATCAAAAATTGTCTTCTTTTATTATTCAGAACGTATAAGCAGGTTAAACTAACAATGATTTGGCACATCTCATGCAACAAATGGTGATTATTATCAATCAATTGTTCCAAAACTAAAAACTCAAACAAAGGAGAAGGTTCTGGAACTATCATAGAGAAAGAAACTTCAATAAAAGTAAAACATATTCTCATCAAGGTAGTTTAACCGTCAGCTTGAAGATGCTTCATGACTTTATTTGTCAATGATGAGGTCAATCAAAGTACCTTGAGTTAACATCTGGTGTATCGACATCATCAACAAGAAAAGGACATGAGAAGTCACCATCATCCAAGTCATCCTGTAAAGATAATCTGCTGGAACTTCTAGAAAATCCAATCCGCGGTGAGCCACTTGAAGATAACAATCCTGAGAATCTCCCAGAATCATCCTTGTTATCCTTGACAAACTATAAAACAAATGTTAAGCTTATTAAAACAGAATAGGAACATTTGAACTTCAGGAGTAATAATGCAAGATCAAGATTACCTTTGGACTAGAATAATTTGTTACCCCAGATTGCATCTCTCCAATCCTTGAAGCCTCTATTTTCCTGAATGACCTCATTCCGGATGGAGACTCCTGAGACGAAGTGTCATTTTTAATGCTTCTGGGGACAAAGGAGGTAGAGAATTTCTACTGTGATCTGAAAGATTAGGAGAGAGATTTCTAGAGCTTTTGCCCATCACTGGAAGAGGTATAGTTACAGGGGCAGTTTCTGATCGCATACGAGTACGCATTGGGTTAGGTGGAGATGGAGAGAGTGAATGTGAAAATGGAGGAGAAAGCTGACACTCATCATGACTAGTAGATCTTTGTCGGGCCAGCATTTGATGGTTATGAACTTTGATACCATAATTATCAAGAGGTGGAGATGGATAATCATTAGGCAAGGAAGGAAGACGATAAACTGGTGGGGATCCAACAAAGGGTTGGTTTGGTGCAAAAGGTGCTCCCTTATGAAAACCACTGGTCCAGCTATGAGGACGTTCAAGTGGTACTGGAGATGGGGGTGGTAACCCTCTCAGTGGAAAGGACGTGGACCTAACACCCTTCTCTGAGGCAGGGAAATATCTCAAAGGGTCGGTGTTGGGGCTTCCAACATAATCAGTGATTATTTTGGGTGGCAATGGTGTTGAAAACTCAAGCTTGAAATCAGATAGTGTAGTACGGTAGTTGACAGATATACAAAGGCAGCCCGGAGGGGCCTCAACAGAAGTGAATTTGTATTCTTCCATCATTTTCTCCTCTGCCCGAGAGAAAGGATCACTAAATGAAGAAACTTTATAAATAATATCAAAGTTATAATTATGACTTGATGTACTTAGCTGCCTGAATATACGATAAGCTGGAAGAAGCCTCATCTGAGAACACAGAGCACGGAACAGTATGATTGACTTCTTGTATGTCTTCTTGTAAGTGCCCGAAATGTCACCAGTTTGAGCCATTACTCGTGGGCACTCGTACTGAACAACCCACCTCTCTATAACCGTCTCAACAGGTGAACCCGCTGCCAGAGATGGACCGGCCCTTTCTTGAACTAGTATAATGTCTATTACCATTGGATCCATCAAACTCCTGTGCCAGAAGTTCAAATTATTTAGAGCAGCAGGTCGATCACCTAATGCCAAATTAAACCATCTATCACTCTTCTTCACCCGAGATCCAAGTGATAACTCACCACTTCTATCGTGTGGGTGAAGAGAAGGGACCCTTGAGTCTAAAATGACATGCAAGCTCTTCAAAAGAAACTGAGAAACAATCTGTTCCAATTTCCCCGATTCAGGTTGCAAGTTATTCTGCAAATCCATCCTTTCCCAAGTAAAACGAATTCCTAATTAGGCTCCCCCTTCTCCAAAAAAATCTATTCTTGGTCTACCAGAAAAATTCAGTCCAACACCAATGAAACTCCGAGTATTTTTATCGAACTGAAAATCCTAAAAATGCAGGACGAAGAGAATAGATTATCCCGTTTACGCGAACCTCCTCTGTGACTGGTCAATATGTACCTCGACGAAGTGCACTAATCTCAAGGATTATCCTGAAGATGCAAAGGTAACCCGTAATTAACACCTTCGACTCAACCATACCGATTCCTAATGCAATGAACGAAAAATAAACTGGGAACCCAGATCATGGTGAGAAACTATCCGGAAGACTTAAATTACACCAATTCGCCGTACGTGATTGTGAAGTGATTAGTAACTAACTAATTGAAAATAAAACAATAAAAAAAATAACCATCGTCTTCATGATGATCTAAAAATAGAGAACAAAATTCTTCACACAACTAATACAAGTGAATCCGTGGAAAGGAAAACAAAAGGTAAAGTACCTGCAGGTAGGGTACGATGAGTTTGGTAGCATTCCACCGTAAGCGTAAACGGACACAGCCATGTATACATCTAACCTAAGAAGAAGGCAAATTGCGTAGAGCATCTGGTGCCGTAGCGTTCTATCTATTTTCGCTTAAGTTTGTGCATTTAAGTAATGCAGAGGAGTGTCAAGGCGCATATAATAATGAATTATCTATCCGCTAATAGGATTCCATTTTTTTGACATTTTAGCTTCGGTGCTGTTTTCTCGCCACTTGATCGATTTGACGTAAAGCCACAAGCCCTCTGATTGGTGTTCTTTCTCTTTCTTTTCTTGTGTGGTTTTCTTTCTTTCTTTCTTTCTATTTTTCTTTTTTCTTTTTTTTCCGAGCAGCGAACCTGGCTATGAGATTATAAACCGCGGCGGAAGACAAGAAAGATGACTCTGCATAATTTTTTTTTTTTAATTGAATTGATTGATGACGCTAACTAGAGTTAGCTTTTTTGGTCTGGACAAACTAGAGTTACATTAAAACTGACATTTTTGACAAAAAAAAAAAACTCATGCATTAATAATTAAGAAAACTAAGTATTTCCTCCTATTTCATTTATAATGTACAACTTATAAATTTATTTAATTAGAGTATAAATTACAATATAACTTTTTAAATAATATTTAAAAAATATTTTTAAAAGTATCCGTTGAGAGAAAATAACATGACATTACTTTTTAAATTTATTATATAAGAGTATATTTAAATTTTACCCACTTTTAACATTGATGATATTGATAGAAATAGCTTGCAAAGAAAACCAAATGAGTATTTGATTTCTCTAGTTCTTTACTCCTTCTATTTCCAGACACACACAATAGGAGAATGTGATATCGCATAATTTAAAAAAATTGGTTGATTATAGTATTTATGTTTGCAAATAAAGAAATCAAAGTAAATTATTCCTCAATTATGAGAGGTTGTTTAAAAATAATAATAAATACTTATTAAGATATATGATCTTGCTTGTAAAAAACCAAATCAAGAATAATAATTTGTCTAATAAATAAAAACAAATGGAGCATTGATTATAATCGTGTCTACTATTTAATTCAAATACATTTCTCAAATTTTAATGATTTTATAACTTATTTGGTTGGATAAAACTGGAGTTAGGAAAGTCGGAGTCAAATCAAAATATATGGGCTTGGTACAATTGTACAGTTAGCCTTGGATGTAACTGAAAGCATTTCAAAAAGTATAAGAACGGTGTATGATAATCATGCATGGTTAAATTGTTATTTGAGTATACTTATATGGATTATGATCAATTGCTTGTTTTCTATTTCATTTTGCATGCTCATTAACTATTTGGTTCACTTGTGAATGGATTAGGTTATTTGGTTATTAAAACATTATTCTCACTCCATAATTATAATTTTATAGATGCAAGATCCTCTTAAAACAAAAGGGAAGGCAAACTGACCAAGAAGTAGAGCACTACTACCTTGGTAATATCCTCTTTAAATTATCATGATGGGTTTATTTATTATGATTGATCATTTTTTACCATGGTAATCAAATTTAAGAAATGTCTTAATGTAAGAAAAACTCTTTCTACCATGATAAATTTCTATAAAATATTGTTGACTTTTTATTATCATAATAGTCTCTTTTTACCATGGTAGAAATTTTAAAATAATAACTAAATTTCTTTCTATCATGCTAAACATTTATATCTCATGATAGTGTTTGGAAAGTACAGTTATACTATTTATTATTATGGTAAACACTTTCATGTATTTAATAGATAAAATTTGTTTGTAAAATTATATTTTTGCAAAAAATCCATGTAAATTTTAAAGTATTACAAGAGCCACCATATTACACTAAAAAATTCTAGTTATTTGTTTTCAACGCTTCTCTGTTATTATTTTCAAAACTCATCTTTAATATTTGTAAAGCTAAGGCATGAAAAATGAGCATCAAACAACTTTAAGATAACTATTGAATTTTTGTCAAAAAAAACTAATTATTGAAAATACGAAAGTTAAGCATTAAAAAATGTAAACCAGGGAAATTTTAATTTCGATAAAGGAGAGTCTTGAATATCATATTCTCTTCTAAAATCATCTAAAAATGTATATTAAAAAGACCAACTAAAACTCAAGCTAAAATGCATACAACTTTTTTAAATTATGAGACAGTTGTATTTGACTTTCCTTACATTCAAACTTTTAAAATTAACTTCTCTAATCTTTAATTTTATTTTTCAAATCCCCTTACAATTAATTAACTATTTTTTTATTAATATACTTGTTACCATGTCAGGTTGATGCAATACAAATGGCCCCGACATTAAAAAAAATTTTTTGTTATTTTTATCATAATTTAAGGAAGGACAAAATAATAATATTTATTTTTAATGTACGTGAAGATGCTTATATTTTTTTAATTGAGTGATACTATTCTCATTATTCACACTTAATAGGTAACACAATTTAAGAAAAAATTATAATTTTATTATTCTTTATTAATTAGAACAGTCTTTTACATTAAACAGATGAAAAGAAAAATTTCTAAAAGCTATCGTTGATAAGAACATATAAACAAAAATATATCCTTTGATGCAAGAAAACTATGATGTTTTACAAGTTGTTTTTAACAAAATTGATACAACACACCAGTAGAAAAAAAAAAAATCTTGCTCTAAAGCTGTTTACATTCTATCTGTAACATACCAATGGCATATTTGTTTTGTTTGAATAAGTCAAGAGAGAAAATAACAAAGCAGGTAACATGGTTTATTTGACTCCTATCAACAGCAGCTTTTAGATATTTTTATTTTTATTTGCATGGCTTTAATAATAAAAAACAATAAATTATATTTTTTATCTTAAATTATATTACCTACGAGCAATGAAAATAGTGTTGCTCAACTCACAAAAATAAGAGCATTGTTATGCATGTTAAAAGAAAAAATTATAATTTTATCCTTTTTAAATTGCATTAAAAAATATTTGTTCATACCATGTGTCATGTGTATTGTGTTAATATAATGTGATAATAATTATATTAATAAAATAATAATTAATTAATGGCAAGGGATTTTGAAAAATAAAATTAAGGACTAGAGAAATTAATTTTAAACATTGAAAAGTAAGTAGGATCATACGTAACCGTGTCAAAGTTTAAAAGAATTTTATATATTTTAAACTAAAAAACTAATAGGTAAATAATTAAGGATATGTTTAGTTTGAGTTTAAAAAAAAATAAAAATTTATTCAAATAAGTGTTTTGAAATTAATTTTTTCCAAAACTACTCTCTTTTTTGTTTTTGAAAAAAAAAGAATAAAGTATCTTAAAACTATTTTTTTATTTTTTATTTTCAAAATATATTATATTTGATTATTTAAAAATATAGTTACATCACAATTTGTTTAAGTTTAAAACTATTTTTAAATTAACCAATCAAACAAATTCATTTGTTTTTTTTAGAAAAAAATTAATTTTAGAATTAAAAATGAGAATAAAAACCCCACTAGTCCTAAAATGCCCTCAGTTGCAAAAGCATAAATTCCCAATGATGCGTTTTTAACTAGCGCATCGCTGCACTTGCCACAGATAATTTCTTCGAAGCAAGCTCGAGTTTGATGGGATACCGCGTTTCCTTTTCTATTGTTCACGGGGTTCCATTAAAGTTCTGAAAATCAGTGAGGGAAGATAGGAGAAGCATGAGAAGATAATTGACCCCTTGCTTGTAGCCGGTGAGGTAAATGGCATGAGACAAATCGGCGTTCAATGTCTTGTGCAAAGGCATTCTCGTCTCTATTTTCCACCCAACGAAGTTTTCTCCTCTTTCTCCCATCATCTGCATCCAGCGTCTTATGCAGAGGCATTCTCGTCTTGTCTTCTCTGTTTTGTTAGTTTTTCCCCCATGGCTGAGGACATCTAAGTGATTGCATCTCTGTTTCATCATGACCCAGTGACTTGTGGGACTTCAGTAAACAATTTAGAATTTGTTGCCTCCTTTAACAGTAATCTCTTTGTGAGTACAATTTTCATTCTCATATATTGTTTTTTCATTTCATCCTTGATTTAAATTTATAATAAATAAGAAGAAGGTCATAAACTTACAAATACAAAAATATATGATAATAAATATAAGAGGTAAAATGATTTGTTTTTACAAATATTGAAATACTTATGTTTTGGAACAAGATTAATTAGGAGAAGATGCCTATAATTTAGACCAAAAGGAGTATATAGTATAATGCAAGTTTTTTTTTCTTTTTTATAAGTGAGAGGTTATACTATCCAGTTGTTAGTATCTGTCTCATTCATTTAAAAAAAAAAAGGTTTTTTTTTTGTCATCATTCATCAACGTACTTTGAACGTTAAATAAATACGCACTTGTAAGTCAGTGGACTGAGAAAAATAGAGATAGTAATTATTTGAATCGATAATTACAACTTATTTAAAAAAAAAAAAAGAAAAAACAAAGACAGTCCTATTTCTCTTTCTTCCTCTGCCTGCCTGACCAGGGCTGTGGATTTTTTGTCGATACCACCTCACCTCCGAAAATAGTCCAGTAAGTTGGACCCAACCCCAATCTCCGATTTATTGGTTCGGGCCCCTTAATGTAAACACGTGTGCCTGAAATATTTATGGGCTCAACACAGAGCCCGTAAGTTTATTGAAATCATAATTCTTTTTGGCCAACCTACCATATTATTATTACGTGAACTTAACTCAATTATTTTTTTTTAATGCAAGAAGTAACTCTGCGGACGGCAGATATTATTTATCCCGAAATATTGAAAGCAAATAGTATAATGTTTTCAACTAGATTGCTATAAACAAGAGCTGTGACATTAACCACCTAGTGATGATAATTCTTATCGCTCACGTTAGTTGATTAATTTAATTATAATTTTCAAACTATGGTCTGGCAGTGTGGTGGTTTACATTTAAGTCATAGTGTAAACCACACGTTTTACTTTCATTTGCTTAATAACTTAATAATTTTAAAGATTGTGTGGTTAGGGAAGAGGTTTTAATGAAGAAAAGATAAGGGGTTTGATGTTATCTTATTTAATTCAGAAGGTAAGGAGGAAAGAAAAAATAATTATATATAAATAATTTATTTTATTTTATTAGTATAAAGATATTAAAAAAGTGTATCTACATATTTAAGGCATTTTAGTCAAAATATGACAAATTTTGTGAAGGTGTGTTTACTCTTATCTTTCTTTGTTGACCGCACATTTTACTTTTCATCAATTTATACTTTATTTACAGAGATGAGTGGGCCATCACGCTATTTGTTTTGACCTTTTGAGTTGAAGTGCCGAATGAAATATCTCATTCTGACAGCTTGCC